TTATTATTGTTAGGTAAAGTACTTTTCACACCTTAAAGCAGTCAACTGAAAGTTATTATTATTATTGTTATTGTTATTATTAGGTAAAGTGTTTTTCATACCTTAAAGCAATCAGCTGAAAGTTATTATTATGGTTGTTGTTGCTATTATTAGGTAAAGTGCTTTTCATGCCTTAAAGCAATCAACTGAAAGTTATTATTATTATTGTTATTGTTATTATTAGGTAAAGTGTTTTTCATACTTTAAAGCAATCAGCTGAAAGTTATTATTATTGTTGTTGCTATTATTAGGTAAAGTACTTTTCATACCTCAAAGCAATCAACTGAAAATTATTATTATTATTGTTATTGTTATTATTAGGTAAAGTGCTTTTCATACCTTAAAGCAATCCGCTGAAAGTTATTATTATTATTGTTGTTGCTGTTATTAGGTAAAGTGCTTTTCATACCTTAAAGCAATCAACTGAAAATTAGTATTATTATTGTTATTGTTATTATTAGGTAAAGTGCTTTTCATACCTTAAAGCAATCAACTGAAAATTATTATTATTATTGTTATTGTTATTATTAGGTAAATCAATCAACCGAAAGAGCTTCCAGATGTTTAATGGGTACATACCCTTCCTCTGTACCTTTTGGATCGTAGGTGCTAAGGAAAATTGAAAATACAGAGTTGTAAAGACTGGAAGGGAGTAACTCCCCAAATGAGGTAGGTATCAGAAGTTGGGCCCTGATGAAACTGAGAAGTCTAAAAAAATTATTATTTGGGATAGGATGCTTCTTATTATATCTTTTTTTTTTTCAGAATTACCTCCTCCTTCTTCCTCTACTCTAAAATCAGGAACAGTAGCTGACCTCCATAACAAAGATTAAAAAAAAATGAAAGAAAAAAAGTAGTTTAGCAACACCAACCAATACATCAATTGTTCCTGACAATATATGAAATACTCCACATTCATAATCTACTGCCTCTTCAATAAAGAGAAGAGATACATTTCCTCAGTTTTTCATCTGGGCTGAGTCTGGCCATTAAGCAGCATCCCAATTTTTTTTATTGTTTTTTACATTGTTTTATTCATGATGTATATTTTCTTGGTTCTGCTTATTTTGTTGTTATTCAGTTGTTTCTGACTTTGTGTGACTCCATTGGAGTTTTCTTGGCAAAGATACTGGAGTGGTTTGCCCTTTCCTTCTTCAACTCATTTTATAGATGAGGAAACAGGGCAACAGGATTAAGTGACTTGCCCAGGGTCACACAGCTGGTAAGTGTCTGAGGCTGGATTTGAACTCAGGAAGATGAGTCTTCCTAAATTCAGGCCTGGCACTCTATCCACTGTGCCACCTGGCTGCCCTTCTGCTTACTTTATTCTATATTATAGGATCATAGATTTACAGCTGGAAGAGACCTTAGGCCATGTAGTCTGACCCCCACATTTTATAACTGAGATAACTGAGGTTAAGGACAGATTGAGTAACTTACTCAACATCAGAGGCAAAATTTGAAGCCAAGTTCTCTGACTCCAGAGCCAATTCTTTTTCTACTATCTCATGACTTGTATTGCTTTTCTGAATTCTTTATATTTGTCTTTTCCCATGACACATTAATTATCCATTAACATTCATGAACTCGTTTGTTTAGACATTCCCCAGTAGTTGAGTACTTGCTTTGTTTACTTTTTTTTTTTTGCTACTACAAAAATTGCTGCTATAAATATTTCAGTGTACTTTCTTTCTCCCTTTGAACTCCTTGGGAGACATGTGGTGGGATTTTTATTTTTAAAGGTCCAGAGATAGGGCCTGGTTGTCTCTTACTCTTTCTCTTTTATTCTTGGTCCTGATTTCACTATTATCCAGAGTGCATCTATTTTTCATTAGGAGGTAGTAATTTAAAAAAAAAAAGAGAGATTGACTTAGCAAGTTCTTCGGAAGGCTTTCCTAGGGCCAGCCTGTTAATGTTAATTCATCTGGTAAGGTTGGGCTGCTGAAATGTTAACCAAATGTGGCAAGCTGATATTTTTACTCCCCATCCCTTCCTTGATTTCTGAGACCAAAAATGATGGATAACCCTACCTAGAAAGACAACTTTCTCTAGGGTATAGTTTTCTTCATTGCAAAGACAAAGGGTAAGACAAAAGAGAGGGTAGATGAATTGGAAAATCAGATTCTCTTAAAGTGACTACTTAAGCTGCTTTGGATGTTAATGTGATTATAATTTACTTTCAGTCTTGTTTCAGTAAATTACTTATTCTAAGTATTTAATGAATGAATTCTTTGGGGCTATCATAGGATTACAGTCACAGAATCACAGAATTTGAGAATTGGAAGTGACCTTACTAGACATTTAGTTCAACCCATGAAAGCAATCTTTATTATAACATATCCATCAAATTTTTATGCTGAGAAAGGAAACAAAACTAGGGACCCCAAATGGGTAAGGGCTGACCTACAATAAATTTTTTTTAGGGAATTAATTAATAAACTTAGATTTAAATATGAAATCAAACAGCATAAGGAGTGTATAGATACATGGAGCAGGAGAGTGTACAGTCAGCTTGGAGTGAGCTGGTGTAGTTCAAGCCTCTAGTGCCACCTGGTGGCTGACACAGACTGTTCTTTATGTTGTGAGTGCTAAATGAATGAATGGTGCCCTTGTGCATATGTAGTACACTTGTGCTCTTGTTTTCTTTCTTTGTAAAAAGCAATGATAATGTTCATCAAATCCAATCACATGCTCAGAGTTTACTGTTTTTGTTTGTTTTTTTGGCTAGACAATGGGGTTAAGTGACTTGCCCAAGGTCACACAGCTAGTAAGTGTTATGTGTCTGAGGCCGGATTTGAACTCAGGTCCTCCTGAATCCAGGGCTGGTGCTCTATTCACTGCACCACCTAGCTGCCCCACTCAGAGTTTACTGTTAACCAGATATTGCTGAGCTTGATTTTTGGAAGGAGGATGGGATGCCAATCCAACAAGGCATCTTCAATGTGAGGATTTTTGGTATCCTCAGAATAATTTTTTTTTTCAAAGTAATAGGCAGAAACAGAGAAGACTAAAAACCTAAATACTAGGATGGCTTGACTTAATTTCTATTCAGACAGACAGACAGAGGCAACAAGATGGGGGGAGGGGAGAAAGGGGGGGATGAGAGGGGGAGAGAGAGAGAGAGAGAGAGAGAGAGAGAGAGAGAGAGAGAGAGAGAGAGAGAGAGAGAGAGAGATTGAGATTCTTTACCTATCCTATTGAGTCAAGCTATTTCTTGATTTAGGCAGTCTTCAAGGTCTATTCACTGCACAAATCAGCAGGTGATTTCTGTTCTCACCGGGTCTAGTCCTGGGGTGACTTTAAAATTATAAGTAGATCTTGGATTAAGATTCACATTTTTGAAATGAGCTTGATTGGTCAAAGAGGAACTTTATTTTTGTGTAAGGCTTTAAAATTTGTAAAGGACTTAGACCCATATTCAAGCCTTGCAACAATCTTGTGAGGTTGCTAGTATTTTAAATGTACAAAAGACCTAGGATTTCAGTGGAGTTGTTGGGAATTCAGGATGTGGGAATTCTTTCCACCAAAGTAGATGCCAACTTATGAATTAGTGGAAAAATCCTAGGGAGACACTTGAGGCTTATAGATACCAAATGACTTGCGCAGGTCAGATAGCTGCTAGTTAGTCATTAAGTTCATACTAAATATCAGGTAATGTGCACTAGGTGCTATTAATAGAAAAGTGAGATAGCTCCTTTCAAGGAGTTTTTATTCTACTGGAGTGAGTAACAGAGAAAGGATATGAACTCAGCTTTTCCTGAATTTAAGCTTAGCATTCTATCAACACACTGTCTTTATTTCTTGTCTCTTTTACAGAAGAGAACTCTGAGGCTCAGAGAGGTGGATCGACTTGCTGAGTTCACGTGTCTAGTGAATGGTGGCAGCAAGACTGGAACCCTGGACTTATGTCTCCTAATCTTTCTACTGTAGTATACTGTATTTGTGTTTGATGGAGAATTGACAGAAATCATATTTTTACCTCTCAATGAGCTAAAGAAGTAGATGTTCTACCATATCATTTTCCTTATTGTCTCATCTTTTGCCTCATTATAGAACTTTTAACAGATGTTGATAGAAAAGATTTAATTTAAACACTAGGGAAAAAAGGGACTCCTGTTGCCTACTTTGAGAGGTTGGGAACTTAGAATAATCATTGGATGGGGATTTAGGTCCATATTAGAAGACATATGCTATACCACCTCTTTTCAGGAAGGCCTGAAACAACCCAGTTAACTTTTGATTAGTTTTCCTAAATTTATTAATAAATAGTCACAACTAAAGAGAAGAAAAAGAAAATAATATTTCTTAAGGAAACATTACAAAATCCTTTTCAGTTCCTATTTTTCTCTCCCTTAGCCTGGCTAACTTTACTTCTAAAAACAGTACAATACTTGTGCTGAGGAGAGAAGTAGCAACTTATAATGGATTCTGAGAAATGGTTAGGGTTGGGTGTAAGTAACAAATGGACATTTGATTTGAAATTTAAAAAATCTTTGTGGACTTGTCTTTTTTCATGTTGAAAGTGAGTCTTCAAAAGCCTTTGTGTTGACTAATTGAAGAGAGTATCTTGGAACTTTAAAGAAACCCCAAGAAATTAAAAAAAACCCCACAAGTACTCTTAGGCTTCAATTTTCAATTATTTGAAATTCGTGGATTAAAAAACCCTTACACTTTGAGTCATTAGAAGTATATTTAGTGGTTTTTCTTTTTTTTTTTTGCCAAAATAAGCAGCATTACACATATTTTCTGATGGCTGAAATGAACACATGGGTGTGTGTGTGTGTGTGTGTGTGTGTGTGTGTGTGTGTGTGTGTGTTTATCATTGATTCGTTCGCTTTCCAAAAATTGCATCCCTTTCCATAATTCATTGAGATTAGATTTTTTTTTTCTGAAGATGTGATTGGCTGTTCATAAGTCTGCCAGGGGAAGGGAGGAGAGAGCAAAGATGAGAAAATGAAAATCTTTGGTGTGATAAAGTCTAGGACTAGCTGATGCTCAGACAACTTCTAACATTGATCTGTGAAATGAAGACCCAATAAAGCAAACCTGATGAATCTTGAACAAATGAAGTTAGAAACCCAGAGAAAGAAACTTCTGTTTTGAGAGCCCTTTATACTGGTAAGTTTAAACTGGGGGGGAGAGTTGAAGGAAACTAAGAGGAACAGAATGCTTGGATTTAAAATTTTGGGAGGATTAATTTTGTATGGATGGCCAACATTGTGATATAGGCAGGAAGCATGTCTAAGGGCCTGGAAATTACTTTCTTATATCATATTTAACTTTGTATCCTTGTAAGAGGATTCAGGAGTAGGAAAAGCACTAGTTTTAAAATCCAGAGATCTGGGTTTATATTCTGTCTCTGTCACTCACTACCTGTGTGATCCTGGGCATATTACTTAACTTCTCTGTTCAACTATAAAATGAGAAATTTGTATTTGATGCCCTCTGAGCTCCTTTCTAGCTCTAAGTCTACGTATGATCCTATGTAGGTATAGTTTTTGTGGATTGAAACTCAAAATAACAGTGTGTCACTGACTAATGAATTAAGTATTTTTCCTGTTGCCTGAATGCTAGATTTGGGGTGGATTTGCTTCTAGCAATCAACTTTAAGGCAGTGATGACTTTTTCTTTTTTTTCCCTTTCAGATTGAGAGTAAGGCAATAGCAAAGTGTCAGGCTATCAAAATGTCAGAAGTCATCTTCCTGGAGGGTTTCCATTTTCCTGCCAAAGTATATTTGTCAATTTCTACAGTCAGTTTGTTCCTGGCTCAGTAGCTTGTTTTATCTTTGCAGAGAAAGGTTGTTATTATTCCTTAGGAGAAGAAACAAGGAAACTTGGTGGCTCCAAATCCTTCAAAGTATTTCATGATGACCATCCTTACCCAGGGCATCATCCTGATCACCTGTGAAAAACTGCTAGGGCAGAGGGCATCATTCAGTTTTGGAATTTGAATTCAAATTTGGAAGACAGTGAAACAAGGGAACTGCTCTGATATTCATTGAAATATCCAGTATTGTTGGCTTGCATACTTTTATCCATTATCTATTGAGAAGGGCAGTGTGGGACAATAAAAAAAAGTACTTGGCTCTCAAGTCAGAGGAACTGGGTTCAAATCCTGGCCACCATTTTTATCTGTGTGAATAGAGATAGGGATGGGACAACCAATTTTAGTGGCATTGAGTGCTTCCAGTAATTTCCTTTACCAATGTATGTTTGTTAGTACTTTATTTGCCACTTATAGATGTAGTGAGTTGCCTACTGTACTGAGCACAGTAGGCTGAGTACTGAGAGGTGGCATGATGCCCTGAGTCAGACAGCATAAGTAAAAGGTAAGATTTGAACCCAAGTGTCTTTGGCATCAAGGTCAGATCAATCCACTGTGCCATGCTGTTTCTCTATCTGTGTGACCTTAGCTGTGACACTTATCTTTCTGGACCTCAGTTTCCTCATCAGTAAAATGATGAGGACTAGATAGCCTTTAAGGCCACTTCGAGCTCTAAATCTATGATCCTTGATGGAAAATATATTCTATAGAAGCCTGAGTAGGGTCAAAACAAGCCAAATTCTGAGTTTCCCAGGAACAACTCTGGATGAGGGCATGAGCCAAAAATAAATATTGTGGAAAGTCTCATAGCTGAGCCAGGCCCATGTAAGGTCAAAGTTATGGAACTTATTTCAAGGGTTTCAGCTTTGTCCAACCTCATTTTGTAGCCAAAATTTGAGAGATGAAGGAGGTATAATTACCATAGCATATGCCCAACCAAAGACTACTTCTAGCTTAAGCAGAGACTCTAGATACAGTGGCTTTTTTCCATAGCAATAAGGGGTTCTGGAGTCTTGGTTTTAATTCTGGGGCTTAGTATCATTTGTTATCTGTCCTGGCATTTGGTAATCTTGAATGGTCAAATGAGATGATAGATACATACACATATATATTATATATACATACATAATTAGATATTATTCATTATTAACAATGATTAGTAGTATCAGTAGTAGTAATAGTAGTAGTAGTAGTAGTAGTAGTAGTAGTAGTAGTAGTAGTAGAAGAAGAAGAAGAAGAAGAAGAAGAAAAAAAAGGAGGAGGAGGAGGAAGAAGAAGAGGTAAAAAAGAAGAAGAAGGTGGTGGAAATCTTACATAGATGGGCCTAAAGGAATAGATAAATTTTGGCCAAATCATTTCCCTTTTCTGACCTTAATTTCCTCATCCATGAAATGAAGGTTTGGATTGGATCAACTCAAAAATCCTTCCAAAATCTATGATTGTATTCTCCAGCTGTCACCTTGTACTTATATACAATGTAAGAGAGAAGTATATCCTTTTCCTGAAGGCTGGAAGCTAAAGCAGCAGGTCTTCCTTTTGTCTGATAAGTAAACTGGAGAGAAAAGGGATTTAATTTAAAAATCTCTCTTTGGAAGTTCCTGAGGGGTTAAACAAGGTTTGAAAGAGTAGTGAATTACATTATGCTTAACTTAAAAACAAGAGCCCAAGGATACCAAAGCTCTGACTGCAAGTTTGCCATGTTCTGTTCTTCCCATTTTCTTCAAGCAGCACATACCAGTTATACATTGGTATTGAATGTTTTCCTTACTAATGGCTCTGCCCTCCTTATGCATGATTTAGGAAAATTTGGCAAATTTAATTGGTAGTTGTCTTTCCCATTTGGTTCTTGGGGGGAAAATGACGCTGCCCTTACAGTACATGCATTTCCATTTATGGCTTAAGTCATCTATACCTCTTGTTGCTAGCATATGGTGTGGATGGGTACTCTTTGTGTGTAATGACATATTTTTTTCCTTGCAATAAAGTGAGAGATAAAGGCTATCCAACCTCTTCAGAGTCCTGGTTCAGAGTACCTTGTATCTAAAAACAATTTTTCAAATGGTGTTCATTCAACTTCAAAGAGAGTGTCATAATGAATTTATTTTCTGATTTTGCTTGATTAGACTCCAGGGATCATAGGATCCCTATGGATTTAGAGCTGAAAAGGACTTCAAAGGTAATTTACCACAACACCCTTATTTTTTAGATGAGGAAAGTAAGGCCAAAGAGAAGAAGTGACTGGACTAGGGCCATATAGGTAGCTAAGTAAGCAGGGACCTGAATCCAGATTTTCTGACTTCAGATACAGGATCTTTCCCACTCCGTTGGTTTCTGTAACCCTTTTGGCAAGGGTGCCTTTAACACAGAGGACCAGAATTATTGTTAGGAGGTAACACATTGTTCCACCCAGAAAACCTGGGGAAATGTTTTAATTGGATAGTCTAGTTTGACGGCACTAATTCCAAGCTTGCATGTATATAATTTATAACGCATTGAAGAAAGTTTTGTCCAGAGAAGATAACGTGTTCTAATGCAGTGGTAACAAACTCAAATAGAAACACAGACCACTAAACTGTGCATAAAGATCCCTGTGGGCTCATATTGACTTAGAAAACCACATATTGAGATTATCTATGTTTTATTGTATTTAAATTTTGTTGTTGTTGTTGTCAAATATTTCCCAATTATTTTTTAATCTGGTCCAGACTTCACTTAGGAGTATTGTGGGCTGAATGTGACCTGGGACCATGTGTTTGATACCTATGGTTAAATGAAAAGAATGCTGGTTTTGCAAATTGGATGATTTAAGAGTGTATTATACACTCTTTGTAGTAGCAAAGAACTGGAAACAAAGTGGGTGCTTATTGATTGGGAAATGGCTGAACCCTGAATACCTTAGAACATTATTGTGCTGTAATTCTGAGGAAATATGAGGAATCCCAAGAAACAGAAGATTTGTGTAAAGTGATCAGACCCCCAAAAACAACATATATGTATGTGTATAGATGCATATATATGTATGTATAGTTAATACACACACGTACACACACACACACACACACATATGTATATATATATATATATATATATATATATGTAATGATTAAAACCCTGTAAATTTTTTAAAAAATTGCTAGAAAATTGCCAGAGGGAGGAATTTAAAAACCAACAAAGAATGGATTAAGACACACACTATTCACCTCAAAGAGTTGGAGGCTACTAGGGCAGCATGATGTGGTTACTATTTTGTATGATTTTGCTTAATTTTTTTTCTTTGCTTAAAGGGACAATTTAATAGTAGTAGGGGTGGTGGTAATAGGAAGGATTTTCTATAAATGAATCTGGGATAAAGGCAAAGGTATCAATAAAAGGTTTTTTTTTTTTAAACATAAAGGGGGACAGGTAGGTGGTACAGTGGACAGAGCACCAGCCCTGGAGTCAGGAGGATCTGAGGTCAAATCCAGCCTCAGACCCTTAGTAGCTGTGTGACCCTCAGCAGGTCACTTAATGCTGATTGTTTCCAAATTTAAAAAAAAATAAAAGGAAGGCCGAAAAAAGATAAATCAAGCTCAGTAAATTAAGTAATACTAAATAGGAAATATTCCCACTTTATTAACCAACTCACACTTAAAAACACTTCCTTGTCCAATAGTGCTAGAAGTACTAAAAGCTTCTAACCAAATGGAACTACCATAGGCAAAGCCAATTATAAACACACACACACAAACACACACACATTCTAAGTTGCCCATCCATTAGCATTTTCCATGACATTCTGGCTCCATGATACTCTGTCCTTACAGTCCCTATCCTAAACTCCAGTATCTATTACCTCTAAAAGCAAACATAAATTCTTCTTTCATTTAAAGATATTTAAAAGCTCTTTCCTTCCCACCTTTCCAGCTTTATTATATATTACTATCTCTTAGGTCAAGACATACTGTTGTCGTTCACACATGACACTCCACCTCCACTCTCCACATCTTTGCACTGTCTGTCACTTTACTCTTCCCCCATCCCCACCCCTTCACCCCCACTACCAATCCCTATTCTTCAATCCAGTGACGCTGACCTCAGTGCTGCTCCTCAAACTGGACACTCCACCAGAGTATTTTCACTGGCTGTCTCCCATGCCTGGAAGGCTCTCCTTCCTCATCTCTGCCTCCTAGCTTCACTGGATTCCTTCACACCTCAGGTAAAATCTTATCTTTATCAATCCTCCTTAATGCTTGTACTTTTCCTCTACTGATATTGCCATTTTATCCTGTATATATCTCATTCATGCATAGTTGTT